TTTTCTGAGACTGATACTCCAACCAAGGACCATCCATGAAGATAACCTAGAACCCCTGCACAGATGTAGCTCATGGCAGTTCAGTGTCCAAGTGGGTTCCATAGTAATGGGAAGAGGGACTGCCTCTGACATAATCTGATTGGCCTGCTCTTTGATCACCTCCCCCTGAGGGGGGAGCAGCCTTACCAGGACACAAAGGAAGACAATGCAGCCACTCCTGATGAGACCTGATAGACTAGGATCAGAAGGAAGGAGAGGAGGACCTTCCCTATCAGTGGACTTGGGGAGGGACATGGGTGGAAAAGGGATGGTGGGATTGGGAGGGGAGGAGGGAGGGAGGTACGGGGGATACAAAGTGAATAAACTGTAATTAATAAAAATAAAAAATGGAATAAATAAATAAATAAGAAAATAATTGAAAACTTGCCAAAATTCAGTCATCTAGGAGGGTGATGGAAACAAGATAAATAAGCTCCATGACTTCCTTTAAGTGTTCGCAGTCAGGTACTACCATATGTTATATATTGATTACATATTAGGTAATAAATGTGTGTTCACATGTGTTTGTTTGCTACCACAGCCAAACCCTCCAACAAGTATAAGCTGCTTCAGAGAGAACTTATTAAGAAATGCGTGAGAGCTGCCTGCTGCTGCTTTTAGAGATGTTCTGAATCTAGTTGCGTGGCTCTGAACCTCGCTTTCTGTGTTTAATAGCTGTGACCTTAGGAGAGCTTGAGTTTTCTATGTGTATGTGTACAGAAGAAGCACGTGTCATCAGCATCCTTTGGCTGTTTAGAGGCAGACTCGTTTTCCCAACACAATTTAATGGCGATCAGTGTATTCATTTTGTATCGCTGCTGTAACAAGCTACTGCAAATGTACAGGCTGAAGACGACACTGACTTATTGTCAGTTCCATAGCTCGGTCAGTAGTAGAGTGTGGCTGAGCTGACTGTCTGTCTAAAGGATCAGAGGCAGGTGAAGGTATTGGTGGGAGCAAATCCCTGTCTGGGGACTCGGGGATACACCCCCTTCCCCTTGTTAGCAGAACTCAGTTCCTACTCACTGCGGGACCCAAGGTCCAGCTTTCTTGTTACCATCAGCTGGAGGCAACTCCCTGATTTTAGAGGCTACCTGAATTCTTTGGCTCATGGCTCCCTTCATTTCAAAATCATCAGTGGCCGACCATATCCCTTATCCATGTTCAATCTCCCCGAATGCTTCTTTGACCTCATCTCCCCTTCTTCATCCTGCTTTAGACCTAATCACTTCTGCTCTGCTTTTTGATCTTCAGGACTCATAGGACTGAATTGTTCCGTCCAGATAATCATCTTAGTTTAAGGTTATCTAACTTGTGAACTTAGTCTTACTTGCAATGTCCCTTCACACCAGTATTTATGTAACATTTATTTGAGAGTGAACTCAGAGGATGAGAATTTTGAGGTAACACCTTTTAAATTCCCCCAAACTCATTGTCTAAAGCCACAAAATCCCCAAGAGCCACCAACTCAGACTCAGACGCAGGTTTTGAAACCCTCAAATATTACATCTAAACATGATAACATTCCTGTTTTTATTTCACATTCTTTTCACACTTAAGGCTGCTGGAATCCAGTGTGACATCCAAAGTTAACAAACTAAGAGAAGAGAATGCAAGCAGCACCTTCCTTCCAGCAGCTTTTCCATTCTGTTTCCTTTTCTTTAAGGAGGAAATTTTTTTTGAGAATTCTTTTTTTCCAAATAGATTTTTCTCTCATACATCCTGACCACAGCTTCCTCTCCCACCACTCCCCCCATGCTCCACCCCTTCACACAGACACACACACACACACACACACACACACCCTACTCTCTTCCCCCAGATCCACTCTCCTTCAGTTTCCTGTCAGAAAACATCAGGCCTCCATGAGACAACAACCAAACATGACAGATCAAGATACAGTAAGACAAGGCAAAAGCTCTCACTTCTAAGATAGACAAGGTAATGCAACAGGAGGAAAAGAGTCCCAAGTGTTGGCAAAAGAGTTAGAGATACACACGTTCCCACTGGAAGGAGTCTCACAAAAACATTAAGCTAACAGCTACAGCATATACAGAGGACCTCGTGCAGACCCGTACAGGCCCATATAGGCCTTGTGCTTGCCACTTCAGTCTCTGTGAGCTTATATGTGCCCTGCTTAGCCGATTCAGTGGGCTGTGTTCTAGTGTCCTGCATCTCCTCTGATTCCTACACTCTTTCCACCTCCTAGCTCCAAGAGGAGAGACCCCACGGAGAACTTCAATTTAGAGTTTCTCTCCACAGATTGACTGGCTGTGGGTCTCTGCTTCTGCTTCCATCTGCTGACAGAAGAAGCCTCTCTGATGACAACTGAACAAATCTCCAGTGTATGAGAATAGGAGAATATCATTAGGAATCATTTCATTGGCGTTTTGTTTTGGCCAGTTGTGTTTGGTTCTACCCTAGCCCTCTGGACTACTTGGCTGACCAAGTAGTGTCAGGCATGGACTTCCCTCCCATTGAGTGAGCCCTAAGTTAAACTAGTCATTGGTTAGCCACTCCCACAAGTTCTGTGCCACCATTGCCCAGCACATCTTACAGGCAGGACAAATTATAAGGTCAAAAGATTTGTGGCTGAGTTGGTGTCCAGGTTTCTCTTTCTGCAGAGTACCTTCCTGCACCAAAGAGAATAGAACTTAGGGGTGAGGGCTCCATGCAGACACACCAGCCCTACTTCTGTCTCCACTCAATAAGCTATGTGTCCGTTGTCCTTGTCCATGGGGCCCTGCTGTCAGTTTTCAGAGAACAACCCTCTGTAACAAGGACAGGGAGTGGTTTGTTTTGCTTCTTAGCACTGTTTAAAAGTTAAAACTAGATATATTTTACACCCTGAGTGTGATATATATATATATATATATATATATATATATATATATATATACATGTGTGCATGTAAGTGGAAAGAACTTGTCTTTGTATGCCTGTGGAAGCCCTAAGAGACTTGAGTGACCAGCTTAGCATAGTAGATGGAACAACTAATCCTGAATTCCTAAGGCTTAGTGGAGTCCTGGGCTGTAAGACAGAGCACACCATGGCCACCTCCTAGGAAGGAGTGGCTATGAGAATTTGAAAGTGCCGCCAGGTTCTTGGGCCGTGCCTTCTGCTGTTGGGGTCCAGAATACACTGAAATAATGACCCCAGACTCGAGTAGCATGCAAGCCACAAAGGGGGTTTATTCTGTAGCGATCCAGCATGCTGGGGCCACCACCTTCACAATATGGCCCCAAGGGTTGCCGAAGGCCCCTTTTAAAGCCAGAGAGGAGAATTCCTACTGTGGCTATGTAACCTCAATTAGGATTGGCCTGTGCCCCATGGAGGCTACACGACTCTGATCAGGACTTAGGTGCTTTTCAAACCATAATTAAGCAACCGTATCTTCCCCAGGCCAAATGTCATGGCTGTTTCTGATCGTTTGCCCTTTTCCTGTGGTTTTTCCTGCAATTCTTAGGCCTGTTCTGTGTAGCAAGAAGATGAAGCCCATCATGGAGTTGGCCAGGCTTATGCAGCCAGGCTCTCTCTCTGTCTGCTGTGAGGTGTCCTGTAATATCATGATGATAGTGGCGAAACAGTTTTTTTCAGAAAGTCATTCCATGTTCTCTCCACCAGAGCGCTTTAAGAGGACAGGACATCCCTCAAGCCAGCTAACAGTTCAGTACCGGGTACCACGTGAGGCACCCTTCACTCTTAAGTGTCACGTGAAGTTGTCCTAAGGTTAAATAGCCAAGAGAAATGCTAAGACCCATCAAGATGTGAATGAAGAATTTTTTTTTTCAGCTCTTATATCCTCCCTGTGTCCAGGCTTCTGTGATATTATTCCCCAAAGCCTCTGCCTCAAACTGACCAGACTCAAACTTAACACTTCCTTTTTGCTCTCTAAAATTGTATTTTTTAATAAAACTCATTAATGAAGAAAATCTATTTCTCCAAGGGTCATGCACTTTTCTCCATGGAGGTATGTTTCCATTGCATGTGCACAGTCATGAAGTTCTAGAATACATAGATTCCTTTCCAAAGTCTTCCTGGTAACAACTCAATAGTAACAACTCAGCTTCACCAACTGCTTCTTTTTAACCATTTTCCCACTGACTTCAAAACCCTCGCCATTCCCAGAGTGAAGTAATCCCATTGGCTCCTAACTCCTAACATAATATGTGACTGATTACATGGTTGGTCCCATGGACCAACCAATGCCTTTGCTGTACTACGATTCCTCATACATAAGCCTTTAAAACAGAATCAGCCATTTCCTCTTAGGTATGATTTGGGGTTAGTCTGAAACTTGTGTTTTTATGCTAGTTACTCGCCCTCAAGATATGGTTCCTGCCTGGATAAACCTCTCCTTATTGTGTAAACCTGCCTAAGACACTATACCAGATTGGTTGATTAAAGGCCTAAAACCTGCGAAGGGCAAAATGGGGTTGGCATGGCCAACGTTCCCAGGCTTTGGGTTCAAAAGAATTGTAGGAAACAGAAAAATGGAAAGAGAGGAACCAGGAGAACACCCCATGGAGAAGCAACCACATGGTTAGGGAGGAAGGACTCTAGGGATGGTGTGAATGGAAAAAAAATACCAAATAAAAGCAAGTATTTGTAAGATTTGGAAAAATAGTCCAGGTGAGGATGGTTAAGGAGGGTGGTATTGGAGGAGGGTTGGGAGGTGGATGATGAGGTTACTGAGACAGCTCAAGGTAAATAAGGCAATTATAAAATTTAACAGATGTCTGTCTTATTGTGATAGCGGGTTATGTAATACTACCATGGTGAATATAGGGCAAATAATTATAAACACTATTTAGCCCAACACCCACCTTCTTAGTTACTACAACACTATGACTTGCCCATTTCCTGACCTGTGCTCCAAACGCTGAATGGTATTTGTCTCGTAGTTCTACGGCCCTGTTCTTAAAGGAATTGCCTTTGTCATATTTGTTTTTGTTCCAAAGGTGTCCCTCAGCCTAATGTAACTTGGTTGAAGAGAGGAGGATCTCTGAGTGACAATGTTTCCTTGCTTTTCAATGGATCCCTATTGTTGCAGAATGCTTCCCTTGAAAATGAAGGAGCCTACATTTGCACAGCCACCAATGCTCTTGGGAAAGCAATGGCCTCCTCTGTGCTCCACTTGCTGGGTGAGTGTCCAATCCTAATTGTTCCTGATGTGCCCTGTAACGTATAATAAGCAGGGCCCAGATTTGTTGATATTGGACGCGAAGAGTGAATGAATTCTCACCCAAGCTATCACAACCCAGTTAAAAGCACTTCCAACACCCTGTCATACCAGTTGTCTTCTCTGAAGGTGGTTACTGTGAAGCTACTCTTCTGCTTAAGTGACATGTACTTTTCTGCCCAGAATTAAGACTTTTTATATCCTGCCTCTATGTCTGTTTAATTCTCGACCCTGATTGTATATGAACTATGCACTGAGGTTTGATTTAGTCAAGATGACTTCTGGTCCTGTGAAACACACACACACACACACACACACACACACACACACACACACACACCCTTTCCTCTTTGGGGCCTCCAGGCATACTTCTCTTCCTGTAAGAAACAGCCTTCACTGCTTCTCCTACAAGCACCCACCGCCTTTATTCAGCAGGCTCCTGTAATGCCTATCTACTGTGTGAATACTTTGCCAAATTAAAAGAAAAAAATAGAGAAATGCTATGATCTCTATTTCATATCTGTCAGATCTTGACACATAATGCTTTTCAACAGTTCCTTCCTTCTCATCTAGTTCATTAACCAAAAATATAGGTCCCTCAGAGGTAGGGAGAATTCTGATATTTCCTTTGCATTCCTGAGGAAACAACACAGTATAAAGCATGCTGTCAATCAAGTGTAGAGTAAGTTTATAATATTACAGTGGAGGAGGCTATGCCACAGATGTCCAGTGCCTCAAGCCCAGTGCCAAGCACAGGATGTTAGACTGTTGCCTTTTCCTGCTGGGTATGGTATTTGTAGTTCATGAGCTCTTGTCAACAAAATGAGCTCTAGGAATTAACAAAAGACACCCTGTGTCCTACAGAGCTTGGGAAACATTGAGAATAAACCACAGAACTCAATCAGATGGACATTGGAGATTATTTCTTATCTTGCTGTTTCTCCAGCACCTAACACAGGTTAAGCATAAAGTATGAATTAGTAAGTGAAGTTGAACTACAGAAGGATCCAGCATAAGACTTAAGAGTCATGTGACAGAACTTTCTTCATGCTCTTTCCTGTTGGTAGTTAGAAAACCTAGACACACACAAAAAAAATGCAGGTGCCCCAGCTGGAAGTCAGAATGGCTGGCGTAACACTTGCACTTACGATTTTGGCTCATTCTCCTGTCCCAGAGTTCCTGGAGTGGGGAGGAGCTCAGTCTCATCAATCTGCTTCCTCTGGTTCCTTTTCTAAAAGGGATAGATGTATTTTTTTTTTTCTGTCTTGTAAGGAAGGCCGACCTTATAAATGTGCAGAAGTGTCTCATGCTGGTAAATAACTCTACCCTTGAATCCCACCCCAACACACACACACACACACACACACGCACACGCACACAAATGCAGCACCTACTTCCAGACCTGTGTGAGCACTCTATTAGAAAAAAGTTCATTTCTCTCTTCATAGTTCATTTTCTCTTCAAGACCACTCAAACTGCAGTAAGAATTTGATGGCTTTTGATTTAAGATATGCTACACATTGTTTTCTCAGAACGAAGAGGACAGGGCAGTAAGAATGTGTTTCCTAAGGCACACAGAAGGCGAGTTCTTCAGGCATCCAACAACAGAGCAAAGAACAACAACTCAACAGGAGAGCCTCTGCCTCAAGGTCTGGAATTTTGACTTTTTACATATATCCTTTCTGAGTCACATATTTTTCTCCGAGGCACCTCTATCCTGAGATGCAAGGGATAGAATAGAATGGGTAAGTGATGTTAAACTGTCCATCAGCACTGTACCGTGTGTTACTGATGGCATCGCTACTTAAGACAGTCATGTATTTCTACTCTTTTAGATATAATGCTACCGTTATTAAACAGTCAATTATTATTAATTATTTATTATTTATTGAACATTCAATGATATGTGCTGAGTGCTTGTTTCTCCTAGGGCTGGAGTCTACAGATGACTTAGTCTTTGGGAAGCTTACAGTCTAAGAGAAGAACAGTCATGTGAACAGTTTTTCTGAGGCAGTATAGCAAGTACTATGAGAAAAATATGGCCAAAGTGTCAGGGCATTGCTGAAGAAGAGGCCCAACCTCTTCCTGGAAATGTTGAATAGGTTTTCATGTATGTCCTGACATTTGTTCTGAGAAGATAAAGGACCCTCCAATAACAAAAACTAGAATGTGAGAACACATTTAGATGTTGCATGTGCCACGGGCAAGAACATCACACAAACCCTTGCAACTAATTTAAAAAGTAGATATCTAAGGCCAATGCTACTGTAAGGTCAAGCCATGGCTGTAGACAACACTTGGCTTTTTGACAGTGTTTACATCATTTTCACACCTTGTACCCAGACTCAGAAACTACCTATGCAGAAATCTATACAGACACTTAAATGTGCACAGTACAGAGTGTGCCAGCCCTTCAGTTACTAACGAGGCTAACATTTTCTAGAGAATTATTCGTTAGCTTAACCATTGTTGTTTCAATTATTTATATATGGCATATTCCCTATCCTTATGTTGACTAGGACAGTGCGTATGGATTTGACCTTCCACTAGGACAGATGAACAAGAAATAAGTAAACAAATAAATATGTGTGTGTGTTTCTTTGTAGTTAAGCCGAAAGGGTGAAATGGTCAGAGCAATGGGGTACATCATGTCTGGTGGTGACTGGTTGGGAGAGGATAGTCAGGATAGCCTTCTGGGAAGGAAATATGGTAGCCTAGACCTAACAGAGGAGATGGAGCCCTCAGTGCAGCAGGGTGGGGAAGAAATATCCCCGGAGGAGATTAGTTAGCTGTTGTGGAAGGGATATTAGAGTAGTTGGCTTCTCTACCCCACTAGTTCCCAAGTAATCGAGACAGAGACCTTTGGGTTTTATAAAAGCTTTAAGGCAGCATGACTGGGCAGCTGTCACCCCTCTAAGCTACTTCTGTTTCCTAGTTACCTACCCCGTTACTTGCCACAGCTGTCCCTGCCTGGGCTGCTTCTGTTCCATCAGGCCAGTCCTCGTGGCCTCGTGCTCATGGTCTGTGCTGTCCCATGGTGACTTCTCCTCCTGCTTCTACGTCTTCTGCTTCCTCTCTCCTCACCCGTCACCTCCTAGTCTCTCTCTGACCCCAAGCCTAGGAACCTAAGCTCTGCCTGCTTCTCTTCTGCCCAGTTACAGGCTTCTGCATCTTTATCAAACAATTAACTTTAAATTGGGTAGAGCAAAGTTTACACAACAAAGACCAGTGGAAGAGCTCTGTTTTCTTGTTTCCTGTTGTTTTCTATAACCTCCCAAGCCCCAAGAATCATGCTGGCTAGGGACTTTCTCTCCCACTCTATTCTTGGTCCCTAAGCATTGTGACTGCTTATACAAATTTGAGAGGGAGATTTACTCATCTCGACTGCAGCCAGATATTGGGGACCAGTAACTAGCATTGGCATATATAGCACCAGACCAACCCTCAACAGTTAGCACAAACTACCGATTGAAAGTAGCCTGAAGTATGAGAAACAAAAGAGCATGCATGTCATGAGAGTACAAGAGGGAAGGGAACCGGTGAGAACCAACCATCCGGGGCTTTGAGGGTCAGGATAAAATGTCAAGGTCACTGAGGAGTCTTGTCTGGGAGGGCTGGGCTATGAGTGTCAGGCTTTTCAAATGCAACTGGAAGAAATTTTGGCAGAGCCTATTTCCTCATTCTGATGCTTTCCCAACTGAGCTATTCTGGCCTGTCTGTGGCAGAACATATTTCTGACGAAGAACTGTATGAAAAACATAAGGAACTCCTTTAAGTTTAACAGTGGCCACTATTCCTCCACTGCAAAAGGGACTACAAAAACCCTCGGCATACAAGTGTGTTGTGTGGCCCCGTCCCTGGGGAGAGCTGAACAAATAAATGTCCACTCACCACAGATATGGAACTGACAAGAGACCAAAATAAAGATACCAACAAAGTCCAACCTGGAGAGCCAAAGACCTGACGTACAGGAGCATGGGCGAGGGTCGCTTGCAGGGGCAGGAGGGACTCCAAGGCAGCGGCAACACTGGCCAGCCACCCCAGCATGGTGGCAGCTCATGACAGCTTTTACCTTGGAGCTCACTGCAGGACTTTCAGGCAGCCCAACAGACCTGCATGTCTCTCCAGGCAGCCACACCTATGTGAGTGTCCTCGGCAGACCTTCTTGCTTATCTAGCCTTGGGGGAAAAGGGACCTTATGCATCTGACCGATTTCAGAGACTTATATCCCTTTAGAAGTTTCTTGGTCTCGCCGAGTTTAGGAAGAAATTGCTACACAAGGAGGAGGCAATGGAGAAACGCAGATCAAAACCAGGAGATGCAAGTTCATGCCTACTAGAATAGCCAAAACAAAAATACTGGACTAAATTCCAGCAAGCAATATTTTAATTAAAGCTGCCATATGATGATGAGCTGAGACCACACTGGAAAACTGTTTGGCACTTTTCATAGGTATTCATTCAAATAGAATGAAAACATGCTCACAAAAAATATTTGTACATGAATGTTCAGCCTTATTCACAATAGCTGTTGACAGCAGAATGAAAGACTACGGAGTATTCAGAAATTGTGTATTATTCAGTAATAAAAGAAGATACAATGTTGATATTCCCAATGATATTAGGGAATCCCAAAAATAGTGTACTAAGCAAAATACAGAACCCCAGGAGAAAGTAAAACTATGTAACTAATAGGTTTTCAAAAAAAAAAAAAAAAAAAGACAAAAAAAAATGTAGTTGCCTGGGAGGGGAAATGGGTTCAAACAATTGTGAAGCTTATACAGTTGAGATCTGAGCACTTTGTTGTACATAAATTATAGTTTATAAAAGCCCAGTGTCTTAAAAGAGAGGCACATGTGTCCTGCCCTGTGACCTGGAGCTAGTTAGAGACCTACTCCAGTCTCTCTGACACAAAATAGGCATCGGTGAATTTGCTTAGCTTCATCCAATCTCTGCCTCTGTAAATAAAAACAAAATTAGTAGCTTCATAACAGAACAGAACATTTTTAAAGTGTCTAACCCAATACCTGTTCATCCTGGAGAAAGAGTTTCAGTAAGTTCTAAAAAAAATGTTTTTAAATAAACTGTAATTCTGAAACTCCAACTGGAGAAATAATTTATGGTTCTGCTGTGCAAATGATACCATGTGCAATTTAAGGTAAAAACTCAAAACTCAGAGTGGAAAACAATAAGTTAAAAAAACCGTTCCATTCTATGAGAGATCATGTGGACACAGCTGGTAGCTATCAATTATTCATGATTGTTACAGGGAAATTTGGCATTTTCTGTAGCCATCCACAAACCTGTCATCATTGTGTCCTACCTCATCTTTTACCGAGTGTCAGCGGCAGGGAAAGGTAACACAAAAGCTGGGATTACTGGGGGTGCCTGGCTTGTACTTGTCTAATGGAAGCCTCCATTCTTCCCTTTCCAGATGTTTCCAGAGCAAATTATTTATTCAGTTTTAGGACCGATGTGATGTTTGGGTTAAGAATTAATGGAAAAGTAAGAGTGGAATTCAAATGCACCTCACCTTCCTGCTTAATCCCTGGCCCCTGTTCCTCCTGCTTGAAAAATCATCTTCCATTTTTCTGCTTGACTATTTTTGGAAAATGGATGGCATCAGGACATCCCTAGAGAGGCCTTCCTTCCTGTCCTGTTGGCCCTGCTGAGGGAAGACTGGGGAAGTGCTTCCTTGCTACTCAATTCCTCCTCCCTTTCTCTTGGGTTTTTCTGGTAGACCTAGCTGACCTACAATGACCATTTCCCAGGCTGTGCTCCAAGGACCCCATTCTGGCCACCATTTCTGTTTGGCAAGTACAATAGTTACTCAAGAGAAAGCAAGCGTCACTCTGTGCAATGGTGTTCTCTGTGTGTGTGTCTTAAAATGCAGCAGGTAGCTGGCCATAGAACAATTTGTGGTAGTCTTTGGGCCCTGTTGCCTCCAGCGCATCATCCTTTCTTATTTGGGCTTGTTGTGACGTTTCATTTCCTTTCTGCAGAACCTTTTTGGGAACCTGGTAACTGGACGCATTGTTCTGCCACCTGTGGCCCCTTGGGAGTCCGCCTTCAGAGGCCCCAGTGCGTGACCACTAGTGGGCAGGAAGTGAATGAAGCCCTTTGTGATCCTCACAGGAAGCCGCTGGCTGGGTTTCAGCCCTGTAACACCCGGGATTGCCCGGCAAGGTATGTATGTGTACTAACTTTCGTAACAGTACATTAGGTTTTGTGGATTTTGAAAGGTCCGATAGAATCTGGAGAGATGGCTCAGTGGTTAGAAGCATTAGCTATTCTTCTAGAGGACCCAGGTTCAATTGCCAGAAACAAATAACAGTTCATGACCATCTTTAAGTCCAGCCCCAGGGAATTTGATACCCTCTTCTGGCCTCTGCAAGCATCAGGCACACACATGATACATAGACATACATGCAGGCAAAACATCCATACACATAAAATATATAAAAACTTAACTTTTTAAAAAAGGCCCAGTAATTTAGTAATTTGGACTATGCTCAGTAGCCATACTCAGAGAAAGTGTTAATATGAGATAAAGGATTCAGTGCTACATAGCATAGCAAAAAATTGACCAAAAGACACAAAAATAAAAACTAAAAAACAAAACAAAACAAAAAAAAACAATTAACAAGTGAAGAAGTATTTTTGTAGTTTTTAATTTCAGATCCACGAGGCAGGTCTGATGTTTCAGTCCTAATTTTCTGATTAAAAAAATAGAGAGTTGGGGGCTGGAGATGCGGCTCTTCTTGCTGTTGTAGAGAACCTTGTCCAGGTGCCCAGCACCTCTGTCCATGGCCTCACAACTGCCTCTAACTCAGCTCTCTCTGGTCTCAGTTCCCAGCACCCATGTCCATGGGCTTTCAACCTGTGTCCTCAGCTCCAGGAGATCCAGTGCACTCCTACACATCAGTGGTCAGCTACACACCCACAGAATGTGCACACGCGCACACACACACACACACACACACACTAATAAAAATAATACAGATTAAAAAAAAATAGGAGAATCTTACTGTTACACAGTTCCATTTCCTATAGCAATGTTCACGCCGCGGGCGGCTCCCATGCTTCAGAAGAGTGTGAGAAGCAGAGGACACCATAGCCACTTGGAGGCACGTTCCTTGAAGGACTGTCAGCGTCGCAGGCATTCTACCGGCCGTACCTTTTAGTAACCACTGTCCTTTCTAAACGGAGCATGTCATACTGAGAGCCAGCCTTCAGAAAGCAGCCATCTTACGATACAAAGCCCACAGGGAATCTGACCCTTTGGGGTGGACAGTGACAACTCTCCATTAAACCTTACAGGTGGCACACTCATCACTACACTGGCTCTCTCCACCTAGTGACACCGCATTCCCTGAGAGGAGGGGAGGAGGAAGACTGGGAGTCACCTGTGCTGCTGCCCCATCCTGGAGCGACATGTGACTCCCTGACACCACCATAGTGCTAGGATCAACAAATCAGCCCTTTCATGGCAGTGTTCACTAAGGTCCTATAGCTTCTGTCCCCAGGTGGTTCACGAGTGTGTGGTCAGAGTGCTCTGTGTCTTGCGGTGACGGATTTCACGGTCGGCAAGTGACATGCAAGCAGACGAAAGCCAATGGGACGGTACAGGCAGTGTCCCCCAGGGCATGTGCTCCTAAAGACAGGCCTCTGGGGAGAAAACCGTGTTCTGCCCGACCATGTGCTCAACAGGCCGTCGGCCCAGGAAACCAGGTAAACTTATGGGTTGGCAGTGTTATCTGTAATCAGTAATTTGTCACCAATGAACTTTAAAATTGTTTTAAAATATTTAGCTTGAAGTATTTGTTCAATATTTAAATGAGAGATAGCTTGTGCTTGTGATTACATGGATGAGTGTCGTGGGCTGTGTCACATGAAGTAATCCAGACACAGAATACGAAGACTTGTACATGAATCTAATCAAGTGTAGAAAGCAGTGAATAGAACAGTAGTTTTAAGTTGCTGAGTGACTGGGAATAAGGATGTGATCTTAAAGAGTCCAAAGTAGTACAAGATAAATACACTGTGGTGAGCTATTATGCAAAAGAATATTTACAGCTAATAATGCTGTATTACACCCTTAAAAATTGATAATGGGTCATATTTTCTCTTTTATTGAAACTAGATTTCCCCCTCATATAATATATCTTAATTATGGATTCCCTTCCTACTACTCCTTCCATTTTCTCCCACATCCCCTCCCATCCAGATAAATAAAATATAAGATAAAACTAAAACATTGGAATAGGACAACACAAACAAACGGAAGGAAAAGAACCCAAGTAAAGGCACAAGAAACAGATATAGACACAGAGACCCACTCGTTTGCACACTCAGAAATCCCATGTAAACACAAAACTGGAAGCCATAATATACACACAAAGAACCTGTAGGGTAAAAGGGAAAAACAAACAAACATTATATTAACCGATTAAGATAAAAAATAAAATTGAAAAAAAAAAAGACCCTGATATGACATTATGGGACATGGAATCACCAAAGCTTTCAATGAGGTCATTTTCTGTTGGCCATCTGCTGCAGGGCACACAGCCTAGCCTTAAGAGGAGTTTGTTTCCCCAGTGAGACTCTCTTGGAGAAAACTAAATTTTCACTCGTCAGTTGGAGATATCTTCTGGGTTGGACAAATAGAAGACCTATTACTTTGCTGAATAGAAATATCAGCACTATAAAGACCCGGAAATGAATTCATGAATGGAATACAATTTTAATTGAAGTGACAGAGTAGAACTTATTATGATTCTGATCTTTATTCTGGGAACAAATAACGACAAAAACTTTCAGGAAGACAAACTCTGAGCGGCAGGGAGAGCCCTCTCTCATCCTATGCCAACTAGGATGCTAGTTTGTTTGGAGCAATCACAGCACTGAACCAGTTCAATCGATCAGTGATTTCAAACTTCAAGGACAGTAAATCAAGTAGGAAGATTAGTATTGAAGAAACTAGGTAGCATAAAACTGCAAAATATTTTTCAAAGAAATTAAAGGATATCTAAAGAAATAGAAAGATTTCCTATGTTCATGGATGGCATGATATTGCTAATACCAACACTCTCCAAATTTATCTAAAGATTCACAGCATTCTCTAACAGAAATTGGCAAGCTAAATCTAATATAAAATCCATATGGAACTAAAAATAACCCATAATATCAAAAGCAAGTCTTATAGATTAATTTGGAGGGCCCAAACTTCTACTTTTAAAACTTTCAACAAGACAGTGCTGTTTTAACAGAAGACATACATATACACCTCTGAAACATAATAGAATCCAAAACTAAACCATTTGATTCTTGGTAAGCAAACATAATACTTCGTGATGGTTATTCTCAGTTGCCAACTTGCTTAGCTTAAGAAAAGCACAAAGTCCTTGGAGATGTATCTGTGATAAAGATTCCAATGATTATCTGAAGAGCTGAGGCTTCTCCCGAATGTGGGCAGTATCATCCTACAGTATAGGATCCCAGAAAGAATACAAAAGGAAAAGGGGAAAAGCCAGCTGAGCTTAGACAGCCCCGACCCTACTTTCTGATTCTCTGAGAAATTTCCCCATTCCTGCTGCAACTGCCGGTTATTCTTGTTGCCTGCCTTCCCTAGCCTGAAGGACTGTACCTCCTAAAACATGAGCCAAAATAAGCCTTTTCTCCCCCAAGTTGTCTCCTGTCGGTGGTTGGTCTCAGCACTAACAACAGGAAGTGATCTTCTTTAACACAGGCTTCATGCAGGACAACTGTGCACCCACAGAAAAGCACAAAGTCATGCTCCCTGCTTACAGGGAGTGCAGACAACATGAAGATCACAAAGACATTTAGGAGCCAACATTATAAAACTTAAGAAAAAATAGACAAATGAATCTCCATACTGTAGGAAATGGTATTTTATGTAGAACACCAAATACATAGGTGTTAAACAATAATGAATAATTTGAATCATATCAAAACTAAAACAACTATCAAGACATTAACAGATAACCTACAGGATGCAAAAAATATTTAAATGACAGGTATCTGAAAAGGAACTTATGTCTAAAATACATCTGAAAAACAATTGAATGAAAGCATGAATAAGGGGTTTAAATAGACATTTCTTGATTAAAAGTGACAAACGGCCAAGGAGGATCAACAGGTGCTCATGATTAGTTATGTGAAGAAATTAAAACTTAAACCATAAGGAGATACTGCCTACAGCCATCTCTGCAGCATTAGTTTAAAAACAGATAGTTTAAGAAGAGGATTCAGAACCGGAGTCTACAGGTCTGTGGGTGGGATGAAGGTGGTGCGGCTCCCTTGCAAAACAATCCACAGGTTCTTAAGGAGTTAAACACAAACTTGAGGATGGCCCAGCAGTTTCATTGCTAGGTGTGTATCCAAGAGCAATGAAAACACCACACAAATATCTACGGATGAATGTGTCCACCGAATTACTCACAATAATCAAACAGTAGAGTCAGTGCAACAGTAACACCACTGCCAGAATGATGAAGCAAGCGCAGAGGTACTGCCCTGTGGCGCGTTAGCACAAGAGATATCGTTTAAAGGAATGTGGGGCTGGTACACTCTACACTACAGACTGACCTTCAGGCTCTCAGGACAAATACAGAAGACAGAAGCAGGACTCCACTGTTATGCCCAGAGTAGGTAAGTCTGTCAGACAGAAGGCAGCTTTGTGGGAATGGAGGAACTTCTGCTGAGTGCTATTGGGTTTCTGTGAGGGATGATGATAACGTTCCAGACTTGGCTGTGGTGTGGCAAGTCTGAAAACCATTACAATGTGTGTTTTAAATGCTTGATCATTATATGGCGGGTGAATTAAAGCCCAGTGAAATATAGCTATGACATAAATTGATTGAGAAAAGCTGGTTCAGTAAGGTAAGAAAAATAAGCAAAATCACAGACTGCACTTAGAAGATACACCACAAGCAACTGAGCTGACTGGGGAGCTCACTCTACAGTAATAAAAGTGTAAAAGACTTTTCCATGCACAGTATGATTATAAGGAAAGTGGAATGGACATTATGGCAGTATAAAAATTCAAGGGCTGCTAAGCAAGCTTGAGTTGTAGCTGAACTTGCCTTAGCACAGGTGCCTCCATCTTTGATCAGAGCAGGAGCACAGAAACACAGTTGGGCTTCACTGTTTTAAATATAGCCATTTCCATACTTAATCTTAATCAGTTCAGAGTTTGTCCCATCCTTTTCCCTTCTCTCTGAGGTGGTCTGAGTTTCAGATGATGAAGAATGGGGGGGCGTGGTCTGCAGAGCATCATCCACCCCTTCTACCTCGCCACGGGACAACTGGTCCCTGTAATTTGTGGCTGATCCACCGCAGCACAAATCTCAGTCCAGACCATGTGCCTGAGCATTCAGGGCGCCTGAGACACTGTTCTGTGCTTCTGTTCCAGTGTCCTGGACGTTGCGCGGGCCATGCCTTGAGGATCCAGCAGCACCACACTGTTTGCGCCCACAACAGCTCCAGCTTCAGCTGTGAGGGCAGAAGGAGGTACTGACCCCAGCCCGGTGCAGCATGCGCCTCCCCTTGCATCTTCAGGAACCAGAACTGCCGGGAATGGAACCTTTCCTAGTTTCTATCAGTTCTCAGGATTGAAAATTTCTATTCAATTAGGATTTATTCAGAGTCATCCTCAATAGTATACATTATACTGAAATACTATTTGTAATCACAGTTATTTGGATGTTAAACATAAAGAGAAAGTACTCTAAAAGGAAAAAAGAAGTAGCACTCAAAATAGATTTTTTTTTTAAACACACACACACACACACACACACACAAGTTTGCTCGAGCCTAATATTTAAGTTGGGTTTACAGGTTAAATATTCCTGTTTTTTATTTATTCCTATTTAGAAGCTATGTTGATTTGGCTATTAGCATAAAGATTTAGCAGAGAACAAAAATAAACTTTTTAGTTTTCAAAGGGGCTCTGTTTTCTCTTGCATGGACTTGACTCATGCGAGCACCTGGAAAGCCAGCCTCCACCTGCTGGCTGGCTTTACTACCCTACAAGATAACATTCCAGTCATCAGCAAGTGTGAGGGAACACGCAAGTTATACAGCACCAGGGACTTTTCATTCTTTTATTGTGTGACCTGTATAAATACCTGTGTAAATCTACACGTGGAATGTTTCCATCCTTGTGAACTTGAACTTCAAATGTTACTACTAGTGAGCATACTGAGCAGTCCCACGCACAGAGGACACCTCGTAAGTAATTCTTTCATACTGCTCTACACACTGAGTCCTGCTGAAGAAAGTAGATGGCCTTGACTGTTGGCTTGGTCACTGTTCCGAGCCTTCAGTAAGGTTTGGCAACATAGAGTCAGCAGTATTTCTTATCCCCAAAAGGTGATTCCAAGCCAGAACCATTCTCCTCAAATGGAAAATGTTTGGAGCTGCTGCCTTCATTCTCAACAGACAACTTAGTTTCCTACTTTGCTGAGAAAATAGAGACCACACACAGATTTGCACCATCCCAGATGTTTTGCTTTGCAGTCATAAAGACATCTTTACAACATAAAAACATATATGGATGGAGCCTTTTATTTTAACATACCATACATATTTTTCTGAAACTTGGTTTTATATTTAAGAATATATTGTAAACATGATCTATCTTAGCACACATACTCTATTTAAGTATGGTATTTAACATCCCATTATTTCCTGGATGGTATATTGTTTCAATTTTTGCCCTTATAAACACAGGCTGCATTAAACATCTTAGAATGTATGTATCTTTATGCTCAGGAAGTTACACTTTTATGGGGTAGACATTTATAAATCAAAGTGAATTCATAAGCATGTTTCTTTGAACATTTCCAAATTACCATCAAATTATCTAAACAATATGAGAGTTATCTCTATTTTCATTGACATTAGATAAGTTTTTAATCTTTCAATTTTTTCAATAAATGTGATGGAGTTGTTTTCTCTAACATTTTATATGCATTTTTGATCCCTTTGACCATTTTATATACTTTTTCTTGAATCTACCTTCCATCTTTTTCATTTCACCCATTATCACCATTGACCAGACCACCATCACTATAATTCAGGCTTTACTTGCTCCCAGAGAGAAGGCTCACCAAAACTTTTAACGTGGGGCTATGCTATGCATGTAACTCAACTTCCTTTTTCACTGCATTCTCCTCTCTCTCTCTCTCTCTCTCTCTCTCCTTTCCTTCCTTTTTATCACTGTCTCTCTCATATGTATGAAATATATATGATATATATATATGATCTTGGTATATATATCTATGGTATATATCTATGGTATATCTAATATATATATGTATATATATATATATATATATTCAAGGGCTATAAGGATGATATACCAAGATCATATATATATACCTTACAGGCTCAATCAAAGCAACAAAAACATGATGCAGAAAATGTAAAAGGAGGAAAAGAAGGCCTGGAATGATCTATCAAGGAGGTTCTTACTCTGATCAAATAGCATCTTACACGAAGGATATGGAAGTGAAATGGTAGAGTAGATTTGCTTTGAATAGTAAACAGAAATTTCCCAGAGCTGTGCTTGTGTAGGAGGTGCCAGGTGCCTTTCCATTTGCTTCCATTTGCTTTGTATGGCTTTTCTCTGCCAGAATGGCTGGCCTGTGTCATAACCTGCTGTTCTCCAGGTTCTGGTGTTATTTGGTCTCATATCTCTGATGGTTTATGAATAGGGTACTAAGCTCGTTAGTAGAGAGAAATGCTGAGGGGAGTATCTCTGAAGTTTTAGAACCATGTTTCACCTACAGATACCTGCTGGACTGGTATGCTTGCTCTCTGTGGGTTTAGGGAAGGTGTGAATTAGAAGGTCCAGAAGGTGGCCTTAGATATCCTTTCAAAAAGCTTAGAGAAGCAGATCCAGCAGGGACACCCAGAAGCCACAGCAAGGCCTCAGTAGATGTGAGACAGTATTTTATAAGAGATCATGTTGGTGCCTTCTGTAGTCCGGGGAAGGCTTGGGATGTGTGGGCTCCGTTGAATGGCACTGTAGAAGGCCTTGGACCTGTAGGAGTAGAAGTAGCCCAGGCCTGTCCACAAGAAACATGAGAGTCTACAGGCTCTGAGGAGATGCTGCAGACACAGAAAGCTCCTTAGAGTGATGGTTTCCAAACGCGCCCAAAAGTCAGAATTTAATGGGAAAATTTCCCAGGATTTTTTCTGGCAGCCTACATCTTTGTAAAGCTGTCTGCTTCTGTCTATTCTTGACAAATAGCCAGGCTCGGGCCCCATTGACAGCCCTTTGAATCAATAGCTCCATCTGGCTCGTGGTGCAAGGATTATTTGAAGTGAGGATAGAGCAAGAAATTGAGGCAAACTAGTAGAACCATCACTTCATGATTCCCACTACCATCATGTATATATCTGGAAACACACAAGGCCCTGCTGCATTTATATTGTTGTCGTCTATACAACCTCCATCTGACTTGAATGTCCCTGCTCTCAAAATTCAGCCTTTAGCTGAATCAACTTCAGTCTTTGTTTTTTCAGCCTCCAAGAGTTCCTGGCTTTGGCCTCCCTATGCCCCTCATCCTTTTACTTAGGAAGGGCTTGCCTTCAACCAAGAGGAAACACTTGAATTTCTTAAATCTCTTTAGGCCAGAAACAACAAAAGCCAACTTGGAAGGGTTTCTGCAAAGAGGAAAAGGCCTTATTAATAAGATAGGATCACCTAACACGTGTAAGCATCCATTTACTACCCTCTGAAATCTATTCTTTGCCTATTTGTTCAGTTGTTTTTCTGTAGGTATCTTGAGCTCTGCAGTGGAAGAAGGCCAGGGAGTACCCAGTCTGCTTTATTGGTCAGAGTGACTCCACTTATACCCACTGGAGAAAACAAAAGAAGTTAACAGGACAATCCTCTCTGGCCCCTGTTCCCTAAACCTTATAACCAATTTAGCGGGACAAAATTGTTTCCTAGTTAAACCCTTTGATGGTGTCTCCGCCTACTGGCGATTCCAAGTATTGCGTCCTACTTTGTGTAACACTCCTTCACAAGTCAGACTTTCGCCAAGTTTCTCCGTTTTCTTACACGTCCAGTCATATTTCAATATCCCTTTAGAAAGATGCTGTATAAACTGTAATTCAGTTACAGTAGTGACCAGGGAGTCCATTAGGGCTCTCGGCAGAAACAGAAGGGCTGTAACTGGAAAGCAGGAAGTTGCTCCCTTTGTCCTTTGTTTTTCTTCTCTCATCTCTGCGGCTTTTTTTTTTTTTTTTTTGTATTTGGCTTTATTACTGGCTTTTTCTAAACAGCCTCTGACCTCTTTGATTGATGTGGCAGACACTGTTATCCCAAAATCATGTCTTGTTCCACATCTTCCAGATTTCAAAGAGAAAGACAACTACGGAACCACCTCAGGTTAGGACCTGGTCATCTTTGAGAACAGAACTGCCTCCTACCTTGCAAATGTACCCTCCATGGCAATGTGTCCTAGAACATGGGGGGGGGGGATTCCTCAAAGTAGATCTGCTGAGAGGCTGTCCTCTGAGGTCATTATCTTTCCAAACATTAGCAACCACTGAGCTTCTTTTCCATTTTAGACCCCACTTTCCAAATAAATTTTGTCTCTGAACTCACTGGTGACAAGTCTAGGTGTGAATGAATCTAAATGTGCCTGTGAGCACACACTCCTCAGCAGACATGCTTTCAGGCGTGTACAGTCCTGTTCACAGATGAGTGTTTCAGAGCTTATCAATAGCAACAAGGCTTGTTAGCAATTTTGAAGTGGCTCCGCACAGTAATAACTATCTTCCTTGCCTAAACTGATCTGCTCCAGACTTCTAGGGTAGTCCATTCTTGAGGTACGAACTGATTTGGTGTGGAAAGTCGCTGGGAACATGTAGCTTGTCAGCCATGCCTCTTTTGTGAGATCATGTTTCAGGGGAGAATGCGCAGCCTCAGGTATTGGGTAATGATGTCACAGTTACTCTAAATTGTGTGGCAGGAGATCTCTCTCTCTCTCTCTCTCTCTCTCTCTCGCTCTGTGTGTATGTGTGTGTGTGTGTGTGTGTGTGTGTGTGTGTGTGTGTGTGTGTGT